CCAGCTTCAACTTCAAGAATTTGAAGCCATCCTGAGCAACATAAGACCATGTCTTCAATCGCTTTCTGCAAAACTAGGTTGTTTACAAGCCCTAATTCTGACCTTCTCATACAGGTTTGGATAAGGGGCAAGCTTAGTGCTTGGCTTGCTGAGTTTAAAGATAGGCTCTGTCTTTCATTCCTCAGTTGACATGTGAGTTTCTCACAGATTAGTCACAAGACTGCCAAGCTTTCTGTTTCCCTGGGTATTATACCTTGGCTGCTGAGCTCCAGAGTAATTTACAGCCACCCCACTGCAATGACCGCTCCTCCCCGTGTGACTAACAGGAAGGGAAGTTTGGCAGCAACTCTGTGCTAATGAATGAAAAATGCAAACCTTGCAAATCCTTCTGCAGCTCAATCCCCGAGAGACCTGATGCAGACACATTTCCAAGATGCAATTTATGCCTTCAGAGGTTCCTTGTAGACCACCCAAAATACACAGGCCTTATTAAAACAGGTTTATCAGCCAAGCAAACATAGTGAGTTGTTTTTTTTTTTTTTTTTTTCTGAATAGGAGCGGGGAAGGAGCAGCGAGAGCCGCTGGCGGGAAATGGCTAGGCCTAGATTATCACCCACACTGCAGTGGTACACAGGTCAGAGAAGTGACGCTTCTGCCCCCATGCTGCTCTTCTGCATGGCCCAAGAGGATCCTGAGGAACTGAGACTTCATTCTAACTGTTTCCTTACATAGTGAGTTCCTGGTGGGGAGAAATCAGATGTTCTCCCAAGAAACACTGCCTCTGAATTCACCTGTGTGCTAACCAGCTGTGTGGGTTTGTTGTTGTGTTTCTTGTAGGCTTAAACTCAGTAAAGCAGAGAGGGTGGGAAGGTGTTGGATAGAAAGTGCTTCTGTTCTTAATGTATGAACTTCCCTAGAGCGTAGGGGCTCTTCTGGCTCAAGGGTCAGCACCACAGAATGGAACTGTATTCTCTGATGTAGGATACAGATTATGGTAAGTCCAGGTTCCATGATTCAAAGCTCTTGTGGTCATATATGTTTTGGAATTTGGAATCTTTTAAGTTTTTGATGGTTTGGAGGATTTGTTGTGGTTGTTTTCAGCCACTTTCATTACGTAGCCCAGGTTGGCCGGAATTCCCTAGGTGGCCATGCTAGTCTTGAACTTGAAGCGATCCTCCTGCCAAGTGCTAGAATCACAGGCATGTACCACCATGTTTGGCTTCATTCATGTTTGTGTTTTTTGAGATAGAGTCCTGGTAGGTACTTCAGGCTGGCCTGGGACATTCTGTGTAGTTCACTTGTCCTCGAACTCACCAGGCTTCTGAGCGCCAAGTCTAAGGCACATATACCAACATCTGGCTTCTCTCAGGTTTGTGGAAGATTCATACGGAGCATGTGTTCTATATCTAAGAGAAAGTGGGCCCAAGCCTGTAATCAAATGGTCTTTCTGTTTGTTACTCATCTTTCTGTTCTTATGGCAAAATACCCAAGAAATCAATTTAAAAGATGAAAGACTTATTTTGGCTTAGGGTTTTGAAGGTTTTCCTCCCAAACTCTGCTGTTCTATCTATGACAGGGTGGGACATGGTGGTGAGCTCACCTGATGGCAGCTGGAAAGAACAGGGAGGAGAAAGAGGAAGAATCCAGCGTCCCAAAGACCTAACTTCTTCCCATCTTACAGCCTAAATGTTCCCCTACCTCCCAACGAAACCACAGACTGACGACCAAACCTTGGACACATAGGTCTATAGAGGACACCCTAGGATACTAACGTTACAGTGTTAGTCAAGTATCCTTTATAGTCCCAAGATGGGGGAGTCAGAGCGAGTTCAAGAATACTGTCTTTCCATAATGACAGTGTGTGTGAGCGGTTGTTCCTCTTTGCGCTTTCTCAACACAGACCATAATTCATTCCTAAAAGCTCCAACGAGATTGCTTCCAGATTCCACTGCCCAGAACTAGGTCTCAGATATAATCCAATTCGAATCGCAGATAAATTCTGTTCCTTTCACTGGGGAGTAGTAAGACACAGTAGTAAGGGTCCCACATCTAGAGTGAGCCAAAGCCAGAGCTCTCTAGACGACATGAGGAAGGAGTCACAATGCAGCTGATCGTGAGCAACGCATCCACCATATCAGAGAGTCATGACAGGGTCTCATACCTGGAAAAGAAATGGCAGCAGCTATCTAAGAGGCCTCTGGTGAGATAGTAACTGTCTAGGATTCTCTGCTGCCTGATCTTCTAAGACATTCTCATGGACGCTCAATATACAAACCCATTTTCATTAGCACATCTGGTACTTATTAGAATCCTCTTGGGGAATGAAAATTTGTTCAGGAAGAAAGAGAACTTGTTGTGCAAGTGTGAGTTCAAATCCCTGACACCCATGTAAAAAGCCAGATAAGGCTGCTGTTGAGTCTGTAGCCCTGGAGCTGTGGAAGGCAGAGGCAAGAAGATCCCTGGGGCTTGCTGGCCTCGAGCCTAGCTCCGGGTTCACTGAGAGAGCCTGTCTCAAGGAAATAGGGTGGAAAGTGACTAGGCCAGCAGCTCTTCTGTTCTGCTTTGCTCACAAGCATTTGCATCACCCCCAAACGTGTGCACATATAACACACACACAGAGTTCTATCTTGGAGATTTATATTAAGGTGTGGTATTTTATCCTCAGCCACACACAGAAAGCAGATGGAAATGGAGGGAGAAAAAGTCAGAAGATGGCAAACGAGTCCACGTAGAAGCTGGTTACAAATTAGACCAGTGGCATAGCAAAGCACAGCCCTGGGATCAAGTCTAGCCTCCTGCCTATTTTCACAGGTAACGATGTGTACAATGATGCCCATTACTATACACACTGCCTATTGTTGCTTGAGCTACAACTGTTGAGCTGAGTAACTGGAACAATACCTAACAGCTGGAAGTATAAATGCTTACTGTGTAACCCACTGCGGGGGGGGGGGGCAAATACCAAGATGGACTAACCCACCCAACCAAGTTGATAGACAAATGACTGAAAGAGGACAATCTCCATTCCCAGATGTCAGTTGTCTTAATGCTACAACAACCAAGACTAGAACAACTTCAGGCAGCAAAGACTCACTTGGGCTCTGAGCATGAGGGTGCAGGACACCCTAGCACTTTTAGGAGATGCTAGGTCTTATCAAGTTGGTCATAATGGCCATCATACAGATCAAAGAAAGGCCCTAGAGAAATTAGCACATGTATGTGTGGATGTGTGCAAGTGTATATATATGTGTGTATGTGCACATGTGTATATCTGTGTATTTGTGCATTGTTCATGAGTGTATGTGGGTTTGTGTGTGTACATGCTTGTATACGTATGTGTGTTTGTATTGTGTATGTGTGTATGTATATATGGACTGTGTATACATTTGCATGTATATGTGTAAATGTGGTATATGTGCATGTAATTTTGAATGTGTGTATGCATGTGTCTGTATATGTGTGTGTGTGTGTGTGTGTGTGTGTGTATGGCAGGGGAATGCGCGGATCGACTGAATAAAGGCATTTTAGATGAGCAAACCACAGACCAGAAAATGTGTTCTTCACAGTTCAGTGGCACAGAGCCAGTGTGGACGTTGTATTTGGAAGACACCTGCAAGGTGGCTGAACAGTAACACTTGGTTGGTGTGGGGGGAGCCAACGGCAATCAGAATGATTCCTTCTTCCAGTCAGAATTGTGTGGCAACTAAACAGAATCAAACCATGTTGGGGAAGATCAGCATCCACCCGAGTCCTTCATCAGAAACAGGGTGTACACCTAGAGAGGGCTGAGCCATCATTTGAGACTAAGAACCCAGAGTCACGGTTCCACTGCTGAGATCAGAGGGAAACTGGGGAGACTCTGTCCTTTTTCAGATTCTCCTCCATTTGTCAAAGTAAGGACAAGCAGCTACCCCTCCTTCTCCACCCCATTCCTTAATGATGCTGAAACATGATGCAAGATTATATTTTAGGTTTATATTTCCTGGTGGCTGCTGGAAGACCTCTTAATATCCATCTTTAAAAGGCTCGGAAAACAGCTCTGTGAGACAGGCTTCCTGTGGACCCAGATCCACCCCACGGGGAAGGATTCTTAGAGCTCCATCAAAGAGGCCGTTCCCTTCCTGGAGGCAGTGTCCTTGCCTCTTCCTGTGCTTCTGTAGCCCACACCGCACTCAAATGCATCCCTGTCCTTTGGAGATTTAGGTAAACTTGGCTTGAACTCTGAGTGTGTGGGTACTGGGCTCCTGAACATGCTTCCGAGAATTCCTGGCTGTTTAACTGTGTGATATTTTCTATCTGTTCTCTCACAGCTGTTTCTGTAACCTGACTTTTGTCCCATTAAGGGTTGAATTGTGTCCTTCAAGGATATGTTCAAGTTCTAGTCCCCTATGCCTCAGAATGTGGCCTTATTTGGAGGGAGTGAAGCTTACAATGTACTCAAGTGAAGATGAAGTCATTTAGGTTGGGCCCTAATCCAACTTGACTGATGTCCTCCGAAAAAGGGAAATTCGGGCACAGAGAGAAGATAAAATGAAGAGGCACAGGGAAAAGATATCCACTTATAACCAGCCTCTAGACAGAACCTTCCCATTGTTCCCAGCCATCTAGCCACTGACACTTCATTAGAGCAGCACTAGGAAGCTAATACACACACTCTGCTGGCCTGGGCTTAAAGCTGTTCTGACCGGGAATATTGGCTTTCTGTTACTGGTACAAAAATCCCTAAGACAAGGTAGCCTAACCATGTAACATTGGCCCTGCGGTGACGTGGACCATCGTGGCAAAGAATGTGCGGTAAGCTGCTTGCCTTTAATCCCAGCACATGGGAGGCAGAGGCAGGCAGATCTCAGTGAAGTTGAGGCCAGCCTGGTCTACAGAGTGAGTTCCAGGACAGCCAGGACTGTTACACAGAGAAACCTTGTCTCGGAAAAACAAAAGACCAAGCCAAACCGAAACAACAATGACAAAACAAAACACAAACAAACAAACAAAAAGCCTACTTGCCACATGATAAAGAGGGAGTTGGCAGAAGCTAGGGCCCCAGCATTCCTCTTGGTATATGGCTCCAGTGGCCTGGCTTCCTTCTCAGCCTGTGGTAGTGTTAATTGTTGACAGAGTCTAGGGTCACCTGAGAAACCGACCTCTGGGTGTGTCTTGAAGATCCTCTTAATTGTATTCCTAGATAGGAGAAGATTCAAGCAGATTCAACCAGAAGAGGAACCGCTCCCTAGGTCGGCCGTCATGGCCTGTATAGAATGAAGAAAGCAAGCTAAGTCCTAAGCCAAATCCCTTGCTCTTCTGACTGCTGATCCGTTGTGACCTGTGGTTTCAGGTTCTGACACCTCTGCAACGATCCATGAGAGACAGTTATTGACAACCACGCTGATAAAGTCACTTAAACGTCTTAAGTCCTTCTGATTGATGGCCAGACCAAAAGCAGGCTCGTGCTTCTGAAAAGCCTCTTGGAGACCACGTTCAGGGACACAGAGTTTTTTCAAGGCAAAACCCACAAAGACCATGATTGGTCTCAAGGTCAGAGTAGCACGAAGCGTTCATTCCTGGCAGGGCTTGGTGATTATTTAAGACACAGCATGCCAGTTACTTTCGTTAATACATCTGGACCACAGTTAAGGCCATGGAAATCTCCAATGTGTTACCAAGGCAGATGTGACCACTGCAGGGAGGGGCAGAGGGCTGAGACCTGGAGAAGCAAACACACAATGGAGTTAGGACAGAATAGCATTAAGGGAGTCATTTTGCCTCGACTTCCTCACATTGACTCTACATCGAACAGTGGATCAGGATAAACCCTTTCTCCCTTAAGTTGCTTTGGTCACAGCAACAGAAGGCAGACTAAGACAGAGATCACCTGCTAAAGGGTCCATCATATCCCACAGTGCCACGGGCTTGTAGCTGGAATCAGTTCCCAGCGCCCACATCAGCACTGTGCAGATGTGCTAACTCCTGCTGCAGGGGAACTGATGCCCTCTGCTGGCCTCCGCTGGCACCTGTGCGCGCGCGTGCGCGCGCACACACACACACACACACACACACACACTGGTGGGGGGAGGGGGAGAGAGAGGTGAAAAACTTAAATTTCTAAGTGGTTCGGGCTGGCATCCAAACCTTTAACGCCTGAGTCTTTGGGGGACATTTCAGATCTGGATCAGGACACTCTGTCTCCCATGTTAACTACTTAGGGTCATCAAGAGTAACAGGGGCACAGCCCTCATGTGTTGTGAGATATCAGGTCACACTTGGATCAGGGGGCAGAGCCATTGGCTAGTTGGCAGGAATTAGCCATAGAGAGGAAGGAGGACCCTGGAATACAGATAGAGAGATGCACAGGAAGGAGTATTGGGGGGGGGGGGGACTTAAAGACTTGCTGTCTCTTTGGTTTGAGACAAGTGGAGAGATGCTCTCTTGTTGGGTCTCTGGCTAAAAAGGAAAGTCAGTTGATTGCTTCTCTGCTTCTCTGATCAAGCAGGTTTTCGCCCCAATAACTGACTCCTGAGTCTTTACTGTTAAACAGAATGATAGAGACTTTGTTAAAAACCTACATTTGGTGGCTGTGGCCAACAAGACTGGGATTCTGAGTGGCGAGGTGCTGACCGCAGGACTGAGAACCTTAGGTGAAATACTGGTAGATTCAGGTGTGGACGCTAAGCTGACAGAACAGCACCCTGGGCTTGAGCTGCTATAGATTTGTACCCGCAACTGTCTCCACCAAAAGCACAGAGAGGCAGCCTGGAGACGGAGGTGTGACAGTCAAAGTGGAAAGAACGGAACAGCAGAACTTCCCTCAGGCCTCAGGACTTCCCTGTAGTTATCTCTATCAGTGTGATAAGACGTCGTGATTAAGGCAACTTATAAAAGAAAACATTTAATTTAGGGGTTCATGGTTCCAGAGGGTTAGTCTATAGCCATCATGTTGAGGAGCATGAGAGCAGGCAGGAAGGCATGGTGCTGGAGCAGCAGCTGAGATCCTCAGGCATTAGATACACACACAGAGAGAACTGGGAACAGTGTGTACTTTCAGAACCTCCTCCAATGAGCCACACCTCTTATTCCTTCCCAGATAGTTCCACCAACAAGAGACAAAGCATTCAGACTTATGAGTTTATGGGGGCCATTGTCATTCAAACACCATACCTTCTGAGCCACAGGCACTGGCTTGGCCACAGCAAACCTGGAGCTTTTCCTACAGTGAACAACCCGGAATAAAGAAAACATAAATAAACATAATCTTGACATCAAGAGCTGCCCCAGCTGCTCTACTCTATTTAATTTGCAATAGGAGATATAGTTGTCAACACAAGGGGCCTACTCTGTAGGCAGAGTTTTCCTGTCCCAATATCCTGCCCCCAAATAACCAACTCAGACACTTAAGATTTCTTTAAATACTTGACCAACACCGGCCAATCGTCTGTCTCCGGGCCACAGCCCAAGCTCTAGCTATCACGGGAGTCCCTAGCCACGCCTCCTCCGCAGCCCCAGGCGTGCGCGGGGCGGAGGGAAAGGGGCGGGGCCAGCTCTCATGGTCCAATCCTCTGTCTTCCTTTTCCCCGCCACAGACCGTGCTCTGCTTCAGGGCGGCCGGACTGGACGCGGTGGAGCTTCGAGAACTTTCCCCCTGGGCCGCGCTCGCTCCGGGCCCGCGCTGTCGAGCGGGTCCCCGGCGACGGCGTGCGCAGTCGGGCGCGCGCCCCTGCGGGCTGCGCGAGCTCGAGGTGCGTGTGAGCGAGTTGGGCCTGGGCTACACGTCGGACGAGACCGTGCTGTTCCGCTACTGCGCAGGCGCGTGCGAGGCGGCCCTGCGCATCTACGACCTGGGCCTGCGCCAGCGGAGACACGTGCGCAAGGAGCAGGTGCGCGCGCACTCGTGCTGCCGCCCGACGGCCTACGAGGACGAGGTCTCTTTCCTGGACGTGCAGAGCTGCTACCACACGCTGCAAGAGCTGTCGGCACGGGAGTGCGCATGTGTGTGAAGCTACCTCATGCCCCAGCCCTGGGCCCCTGCCCGGGGGCAACGCCCATCCTCGCGAGAACTGAATTCACATAAGGCGTGGGAACTGCAATAATAATAATAATAATACTTGTCCAATAGCTTAGACTTGTTACTACGAAACTCAGGCTAGGAAAGTTGGGTTGATAAACTGGTCTAAACTCTGGAAGAAGTCCTTGTCCTTTCCCAGCACATTCTTGCAGCTATAAAGGATCTGGGGTCTTCAGTTACCAAGAAAAAGAAGGCCCACCCTTTGGCCCAGGGCCTCTTCATGGGGAGCAGGTCAGTGAAGCAAGGAGAATAGCAGGGTTCACTACTCCAGGGGACAGTGGCAGAACTGGGCTGAGCCTTCTGAGACTGAACTCCCATCACTACGTCCTAGATTTCTAGATTCACTTGCAATTCTCTCGAAAACTGGGTGTTTCCCTTGCCTTGCAGCTCAGCTGTCTGCAGACTTCCTTCACCGAGGACCATCTTCACGTCTCTCAAGAATTCCTCTTAGCAGCTCAGCTGTCGGACGAAACCCAGATGCTGGCCAAGATCCGACATCCAACGGGATTCTGTTCACTCACCCAAGATGGTTCAAACAGGCCTAACCATGCGAGCAGGCAATAGAGACAAGTACTCAAAGTTGGATGACACGAGCTAGAAGAGATGGCTAAGAATGACAGAGATTTGTAAAGCTCTCAGAGCCTCAAAGGCTGGCACCCAACGACAGAATGGAACCTCACAGGTTCACTGAGACGGTTGTTTTGCCTGATTTGAACTTGATCCTACTAATTAATATATACTATAAAAGAATTAGCTTTTAGAGCAAGGTTGTTACTCTGAACTTGTGTGTGTTTCTTTTGTTTTATTTTTTTTTTAAAAAAAAGTCAGTTTTTTTTTCCCTCATAAAATAGTTAAGGCATTCGCTTTTAACGCTTTTAATTGACTGGGCAAGAGGCAGCATCCAGGTGTTATCCACCCCTGGTAACCTACTGCTTCCAGTTAGGCCCAGTTCTTGAAGGTCCCACAGCCCTTCAAAAACACTGGTTGGGGAACAAACGTTCAACACATGAGCATGCGGGAGATATGTCAGATTCAGACTGTGACATTTCTGTCTTGGTTACATTTCAGTTGCTATGATAAAACACTCCAACAAGAGCAATGTAAGAAAGAACAGGTTTAGCCGGGCAGTGGTGGTGCACGTGCCTTTAATCCCAGCACTCAGGAGGCAGAGGCAGGCAGATCTCTGTGAGTTCAAGTGTAGCCTGGCCTACAAGAGCTAGTGCTCCAAAGCTATAGACAAACCCTGTCTCAAAAAAAAAAAAGAAAAGAAAAGATAAGGAAAAGGAGAAAGAAAGAAAGAGAGAGAAAGAAAGAAAGAAAAGAAAGAGAGAAAGAGAGAGAAAGAAAGAAAGAAAAGAAAGAGAGAAAGAGAGAGAGAAAGAAAGAATAGATTTATCCCGACTCGTAGTTCAAAAGCACAGCCCTTCATGGTGGCAAAGTCAAGGTGTCAGGTGCGTGAGGCAGCTGGGTACATCACGTCTACAATCAGGAGACAGAGATGTCACTGCCGCTCAGTTCCCTTTCTCAGAGAGTCCACCGGGGAAGGTTACCACCTACAAAGGGCAGGCCTTGCCACTTTAATGAACACAAGAAGATCTCCCCACAGGCATGCCCAGAGGCCCATCTTCCAGATGATTCTAGGTTCTGCGAACTTGACAGTAAACATAAAACATCACAAACTAACAATAGAATCATTAATAGTCACAGGCAACTCAAGGAGTCTGACCAAGTAGGGGAGCTCTGGTTCTCCACCACTCAAGGTATTTCCAGGACAACCATCCAGCCAGAACCGTGACTCTGTGTGTGGTCCAGGCTTAGACAAGGTGGGTGTGAGACACGACTACAGGTCGCCAGTGAGGTGAGATGCGTAGGTATGCAAGCGAGCTGTTGATGTTCAGCATCTGCTCGGACTCTTCGGTTCCCATAGAGTACTGGCCTCAAATATTTTGACTGTCCCCCTGGAAACAGGAGTGTCTCATGGAATCCGAGTTAGAGAGACAGCCGAGTGGGCTCCGGGTTGGGGTGGGAAATGGAGGAGCAGCTGGAAAAGCGGCAGAGGTGTCCCTTTGTCTGGTGACACGGCTCTTTCCAGACCCTAGTCCGCCTTCAGCTCCAGCTCCATATGCCAACAGCATAGATTCTGCCTCATGTAAGTGAGAGCCAAGTCATCCGTATAGGCTGGAGTATTCTGGAATAACATGGCTGCTTGAAAGGTCCTTGGCAGTTGAGCAGGGAGGTTATCCAGACTATTCTATGCCAAGCAAAGACCCCAAACTTCAACTTCTAGCTATCAAGGTCCCTTTGAGAAGTTAGAGAAACACACACACACACACACACACACACACACACACACACAAATAGGTGTAATTTTTAAAATGTTTTTAAGTTCTTGCAAAGGACCTGAGCTCAGTTCCCAGCACCCAATCAGGACGCTCACAACTGTCCGTTACTCCAGCTCCAGGTGACCTGATGCCCTTTTCTGGTCTTGTTGGACATCACATGAGTGTGCATGAACACAGAGAGGTCCACACACATACACACATAGATTAAATGTAAATTAGGCAATTTTCAAAAACATTAATTCAAATGCTCCAGAGTTTAGAGCAAAAACAAGCTATATGTTACAAGATACCTTAGGAGTGACCACATTGTCTCTGAACCTATCCTGGCCCTTCGAAGTCTCTTCTCAATGCAGAAGCCAGTTCTGTTAAAACACAAATCTGCTTGCTGAGAGCCCTAGGAAGGCTTCTTAGTTCAAACAGAGAAAGAGCCAAAGACTCCAGATTTGGACTGGAGAGATGGCTCAGTGGCTAAGAGTACTTGCTGTTCTTGTAGAGGACCTGAGTCCAGTTGACAGTACCCATGTCATGTCAGGTGTGACTCTAGCTCCAGATCTGACAGTCTATTTTGTTACACACACACACACACACACACACACACACACAGAGACCCTGAATTTGGCTCTGTGCCTCTGTAGCTCCATGTGGGTTGGCCCTTGTTAAATAAACACGATCTCCCCAGTTCTCCTCTGGTAGATTCTGGTTTCTCTGTGCTCCTTCAGGTCAATGCCCCCTCGTCTCTCTCTCACAGCATGTTCCCAGAGCAGCAGGACACCTCACACACCACTATGATCCTTACACATTGTTTTTTTTTTTTTCCCCTCTGAGGATTTTGTGTACAGGATTAGGAGACAACAAGCTGTGGCATGCACCCATCTCCAACCATGTACACACACAAGGATAATATAATAATAAGAAGAAGAAGAGGAAGAGGAAGAGGAAGAAGAAGAAGAAGAAGAAGAAGAAGAAGAAGAAGAAGAAGAAGAAGAAGAAGAAGAAGAAGAAATAATGTTCTGCCTTAATGGAGTTTATGCTCCAGTGACAGGAACCATAATAAGCAGGAATATTAAAAAGTAACCTACTTCTATGATACCAGGTGCAAACCCTTTGGTAGAGTTGGAGCTCACCTTCCACATGTGCACACGCTCCAGAAATCAACCTCCGGTCCTCCAGCTTTTCTTGTTGGGCAGTAAGCACCTTTCTCCAGTGAGTCGCCTCACTGACCCTATTTATGGTTTTCTTTTTCGGGGGGTGGGGGTCCAGTGGCTGGGAAATGAGCTGAGTCTAAAATGCTTGCCTAGCGTGATGATCATCTAGCATGCATTAAGTCCTGGGTTCAGTCCCCAGCACCCTATAGGCTAGGCATGGTGCCACCCCACCACTTGGGCGAAACCCAAGCCATATGAGGTAAATAAAGGTGGGGGTATCAGGAGTTCAAAGTCATCCTCGGCTAAGAATGAGTTCAAGAACAACACGGACTACATGAACCCCCTCCCCCCCAAAAAATGTAATTAATTAAGTTTTGTTTGGTTTGCTTAAGCACCAAAAATAGTGCCTGGCTAATAGAAACGCTCCTTGGGTATTTGCTGGAGGACAGAGGAAGGAAGAGAAAGAAGGAAGAATCAAAGAAAGGAAAGGGGGCGGGGAAGAAAACGGACAGCAAAGGAGCTTCTAAATGAGGGCAAAGTCTGGCTTGGGTAGCTTGAAGTTAACTGCAGATCTCAGATCTGTACCAATAGGACTCTTGCCTCCTATCAGAAGCCAGATTTAGGCTTACTGTGAACCATTTTATTCATTTATTACCTCTGAGACAGGGTCTCTCTGTGTGCCCAGGCTGACCTTGAACTCCTCCTGCCTCCTCCCTGCAGCTGGGGCTGTAAGCACGTAGCCCACGCCCACTGGTTTCCTTCCCCCTCCTATTCACTGTGTGTCTTAGACAGTGAGCGTCTGGGGGCACTGGAGAAAGACCACTCCAGGTTCATTCGATCAAAACCACTTTTCAACATGTGCTACCTCGTGGACTGCAAGGGCAAGGTCTCTAATGGGCCCCAAGGAAGCTGAGAGCATGTGGCCTCAGTCTTCCTCTTGTTTCATGGGGGGGGGGGGCTCTCAGCAAAAACTCTCCTTTCTGGAGTTACAAGATCTCCGAGCTCCGAGGCCATCAGGACCTTATTGGGACCTCTACTCCAATTCCAAATTCTTCCAGAATAAATTTTCCCAGCACAAATATTCAATTGTTCCCCCACAACTCACAGCAACTTGAGGGAGCAAAACCATGACCAAAGAGTCCACCCTGGTGGGCTTGGGAAGAGAGAAAGTTCCCAGGGAAGAGGCTTGTGGACTTGGCTAGGGCCGAGCGAGGCACCGCCCTCTGGAATCTAACTGTGTTAGCATTCAGAACAATCTAATTGCATCTCCCAAGCAATTTCCTGTCTGGAAGAGGTTGCTGATTTCTTTGAAGTTAAAATAAGCACAGCCCTCGCTTATAAAAATAATAAGCAGCATTCTGAGAAACTTCTGAGGAAGAAGGTCTAGCACCTGCAAAAGCGCGGCAAGCGGCTTCAGCTCTGAGACCCGGAGTGGCAGAGGCATCCCCTGAAACAGAGCTGGCTGCCACACTGCAAAATTCCCCACCGGGACAGCAGATGCAAGGACTTTTGTTTTCATTAGAAATAAGTTTTTCAGCAGAAAGTGGAACATAAAGACAAAAGACAAAAATGTGCACAGAGAAGAAGCTGCATGTCTTTCCAAAAGGAAACAAACGCCAAGTATCAGCTCTCGGCTTCAGACTCCAGCTCCTCTCGGGCTTCGGCAAGCGCCCAGGCTCCACCCCACAGAAAAGCTTTGCCCGAAAGTCCTGGTTAAGCTCTCTAATGGTTTTCCCC